AAGGCTCTCGCGCGCGAAAAGCGGAAAAGTCGCTTCCTGTCATGGTGAACCACATCCTAAAAAAACACTCACCGTATGTAAGTGAATGAATATTTGGATTCGATGTGGTTTTTTCACAAATTCGCATCACCGCCACAATCAGAAGGCTTCACTGCAATTTCTAAATACCACAAGTCTGAAAAGGTTGACCACTCCGCGACGTGGACATCTGCCTCGAAAAGTCACATCCTTCTCGGCTACCTGTAAAACAAATGCTTTCTTTCAAGTCTGACAAATTCAATGATTGAAAAAGTGAGACAATAAAAGCGAGAAACTTACTATGACCACCACAACACTAAACAAGAAGACGGACGTAATCTTGGGCTAATGAACACGGGCGTTCTTCTCAGGAAGGTCGCTAATTGCGCCTATCGCGTAGTCGTGATCACTCGAAGTGCTTTCAATGGCAATGGATTTTAGCCTGAAATAGGGTCCCTCTTAAAAATTGCGAAAACACGATCAAGAGCCTAACTTTCTGACTTCGACGACTAAATCATTTCCCCTGCGTGGGCGTCAGTGCTTGCATTTCGGAAGAGCTAGAAAATGAAAAGAGGATTTTCTATCAAGTTTTCAATACCGAGCCCTTAGCAAAAAGAATGTGCATACCGACAAATGACTACATCCTCTCCATGATGTAGGCACGGACGTCTGCTACGTCGGCACCAGGATGTGCCATTGTCGCCTTCCTACTTCCAAGCTGTCGCATAGCGGTCGCGTGGAGGCACAAACTTATGTTGTGCAACACTGCGCATGCAATGACGATTTTCGACGCGCGTTGAGGTCCCACTCTCAGTTCTGACGAGAGAATGGGGAAACGCGATTTCAGACGACCGATGGTCATCTCCACGATCGATCGCATACGGCAATGATCGCGGTTATATCGCGCTTTTCCTCGCGTCTCCCTTGGACGGCAGTGGGCCGGAATGGCGTCATTATTCCGCCGCCGTTGCCGTACCCCATATCGCCAAGAAGGCGATAACCTGCTACGGTTACTCCACTATTGAAGGCCGCAGCAGGTGCGGAGTTACGCCAAACAGCGGCATCGTGCACCGATCCGGGGGACCCGCTGTTGACGTACAGGATTCGGCCTACAGCGTCTGCGATGATGCAGACGTTGAGGCAAGATGTTCCTTTCCTGCTGACGTACTGCCACCCGTCAACAGCTGGAGTCCTTATCCGGACCAGTGTGCCATCCACAGCACCGATCACATCTATAAACACATCTTTTGAAATTCACATTGTTAGTACAACTACTTCGATTTCCACTCACTGGACATCCTTCCTGTCCTTGCGAACTCGTTGGATCGGGCTCTGCACCACTGCTCGTCCTCGGGTTTAAATTTAATGAAGCGTTGTACGATGTCTGGATGGACCAGAGCATCGACAACGCGCTGTATGATGTTGGACACCGTTTTCTGGGAGCATCCAGCGGTGTCACCAACAACGACTTGGAATGCATTAGTGCATAGGTAACGATACCTATGCACACCTGGAACAACCCAATGAAATAGCCGCTACTGCAAACGATGCTAATAAATTCTTGCTACCTGCATCCTCTTACTTATCGCCCATGGTTGCTGGTCGTCGCGGCCCAGCATGGGACTCAACAAGTCCGTTATCCAGTCCAGCTGTTCATCGGTGAACCGAAATCTCTGACGAATCAGAGACTGGTTCACCGACATGTTCCTCCATGGGTCCTGGCGGACGTAGGCAACATTCCTAGCGCGACGACCAGCATCATCAAAGAAGTGAAGAGGCATTTCTGAACAAATGCATGGGAGCATTTTCGGAACACATGATCTCCAGATGAAACATTATGTATACTGCAGGCTGAGCAATGTTCATTTAGTCTTCTCGGAACCCATGACTACTTCCGGCCTCCCATTGCCAACATAGCCTTGTCGAGCACAGCATCGGCACTATTGCACGTACTCCTACTTCCTAGTCTCCTTCTTCTATGTTATCACTGCTTCTGTTTTTATTCTTGTCTCGGACGATTCCGACCACTCCTGCCACTCCATAGACCCTTCACGCACTTAGGACACCGTTATCATGTTGCGAAGCTCCAATACATGGGAAATCCTCAACTAAGTCATCACTGGTGATTGAGCCCACGACGTGCTTTTGCGTGTCATCGATAGTCGTGGTTAAGGCAGTGCTCATTGCAGAACACTGCGTTAAGCAAGACTATCGCTGCGTTCGAGTCCAAGCTAAGGCAAAATGAGCATCCGCATATAACTTTAACATTGCGCTAATCAAATAATAAAAAGCAATGAGCACAACAAAACAAAATTCACACGCCTTTATTCCGGGTATTAATTATCTTCACATTGTTAAAGTGTTAATGTTCCGTACTGTTATAGGGCGAGGAAAGCCTTACAATAGAAAAAGAAGCAGAGGGACTCCAGCTCGTGAACGTGTACACGTGCAAGAGAAGAGATTTCACTGTGAACGATTAAAAACCATGCATACTCACCTCAACACAAAACGAATTTCTTCTTACAATTTCTTCAACAAAAATGGGCGCACAGCCAAACAGAACTGAAACAAGATGAATCAAATAGGAAATCCAAAGTGAAGAAATCATGCACACTTACATCGAATCCTTCAACAAAATGGGCGCACAGCCAAACAGAACTGAAACAAGATGAATGAAATAGGAAATCCAAAGCGAGGAAATCATGCATACTCACCTCGAAACGTCGCAACGAAGGGAAACCTCTTCAACAAAAATGGGCGCACAGCCAAACAGAACTGAAACAAGATGAATGAAATAGGAAATCCAAAGCGAGGAAATCATGCATACTCACCTCGAAACGTCGCAACGAAGGGAAACCTCTTCAACAAAAATGGGCGCACAGCCAAACAGAACTGAAACAACATGAATCAAATATCATATCAACATGAAACATGAACGAAGAACTTAACAACAACTTATATGACACACAAAATAAATGGAAAATGGAAATAGGTGCGAATAATTCATTTTAGTGCAATAATGCGCGCGGGCACATTAGTCGCAATTTTGCACAAACACCACAATTACCCCACAACTGCACTCTTTGTCTGCGT